GATACGCTTCCCAAAATGCTTCCTGTTTCCGGCTCTTTGTGAGTGTTTCCTTAACGGCAATACGTCGGTTTGTAGAAGCGCCATTTTTAAGTTCGGTGGCTTCCGACACTGTACCAAATCCTCCTCGACCAATTTCACGAACTATACTGTACGTATAGGTATGCGGACCCTCAGTGAAGGCGTAATTACGTATCATTATTAGAAACTGAAACTGCAGAGGCTCGAACGACAGTCCACTACGCACAACCGCAGACAAAGAGCAGTCTCAGACTGGAATTCGGTAATTAAAGCTTTACCTTATACTCTAAAGAATGCATCTTTACTTGTGCGAAGTTGTTTGATCAGTAAGTTTTACCAATGGTCGCGTTGGCATGGTTGCTCTTACGGTATCGATAACTGTTTATACAGTACGTAGATTACAGGAATATGGTTGGAATACCTCCGTTGAATGAAGGTCGTATCGCTTTTTCGCTGCGCTTTAGCTTGTTATTGCACGCACATAAAGCAATCTTATCAGAGCGTGGTTAACTAAGGTGACGCTGAGGAGTTTTGTGCTGATGATACAATGGCACAGCTACGACTCTTGCGATAAGACAGACCATATCATTTTTACCTAAAGGATCACGGAAAGAATTATAGTAGGCGACGGTACTTCTTACTTACTTCTTACTTGTAAAAAGCATGGAGACTGCTTACGATTAATTACCGAAATAATACTACAGCATGAGCAGAACAGCAGGTAATAAATTCCAATTTTAAATCGTTTGTAGTAATCGTTGGAAATTGTTTTGGTGCGCGCTCGTCAGCACGGTTTGTGGTCAAATTAAAAGTATTATTTTATGAACAAACCAAAAGATAGAACCTTAAAGCTAAACAATCTGATACACCTATCCGATTCTTGCGGCTCAGTCCTAAAAGCCCTTGCATTTCATGCGCTTCACAGGCTTCTTTTCCTGTAAATTTGGCTGGACGCGGAGCACCGTCGTGAACATCGCCCACTTCGTTTTCCATGACGATACTGGTTTGTAATGGCATTGACGTAGTATAATGGGGCATGGTTTCTGAAACACCTATAAACGGATCACTGAGCAAAGCATCCGCAGTCGGCCGTTGATTCTTGTCCCGCACCAGACATTTGCTTATAAATGTCTTGAGGTTGCCCATATCCGTATTCGCTAACACGGTGTAATCCGGCGAAAGTCCATTCGTTACATCGTTTCTCACCGGTAGAATCAAATCCATGAGGTCATATCTGTTACCCCTTCAACGGAACCGGCGCCTTTGCAAGATCACTGAAATCCCGCAAACGCTGGACTTCACCTCTGCAGGCCGCTGATAAAAGCAGTACCCCAAAGCTCCAGATGTCAGTGCTCTACCCACTTCCACATCGGATTCGAAGTACTTTGCACCATCTCCGGGAGCGGTATAAACTGGCACTCCGCTGACTGGAAGGAAATATCGTGTACGTTGGTTTGTTTGTCCAGCAACTGCTTTGCGGTTCCGAAGCCGATAATCTTGACATTTGATATCCGCTGGTGAGGTTCGCTTGGTCACCGGTAATGACGATATGGGTGTCGTCGAGGTTTCGATGGACGTACTGTTGCTGGTAAAGAAACGACAGTCCACGAAGGATCTGTCGACCGATTTCGCCAGTTCCATTTCTGTCAGCGGCCGTCCATTTGCGATGGTTTGCAAGGTGCTGCCTGGATTGCAGAAAAATCTCAAATAATGAAGTATCGTACGATTTAAATAAATATTTAACCAATCGAAAATTCTGTCAAATCATAAATTTCTTTGGATTTGATTTAATACATTTTGCAAAGTTTTTTTTTTAAAGATTTTCCATTAGTCTCATTTTTATGTTTCAAAATAAAACCTCGAAAAGTTTGCGCGATATTTGGTATATGACCTTTAAGACATGCCCAACTGTTTCACGTAGGGTTTGATGGCACTCGCATCTAAGTAGCAGCATGAAAAAACTACAGCTAATGTATGCATACCTGTTAAGTATTCCATTCTGATAGAAACTGCGGTTCTTCCAGGCGTGTCCCTTCGACGACCTCAACACCATAATGCTTAACGATGTTCTCGTGGAATCGCCGCATGCCGCCGGCAGCAATTGCCCTTCTTGCAACTCTCCCGGATCTTCCTCAACTAGTGGATCCCCTGGCTCTTGGTTACATTGCACAAGCACCCTTTCTTGGTTTCTTCTGGGTCCGGGAATCAGCGCCATAAAACGAAGGTTGAGCTGGTTGATGAGTGCGTTCGAGTGTTCTTCCATTGGTAGCTTAATCTGCTTCAACGCCACGTTTCTTGTTATCCAGTAATTCTGCGGCGTAAACAGCACTGGATTATTTGGAGCTAACGAGCTGTGTTAGCGCGTAGTTTCCCTTGAAAGCTGTGATTCCTTCCAGTCGGAAATCGCTACACGCCCATCATTGACCGTTGTAATCATTGACTCATTATAAGCAAAACTACGCTTTTGCCTGTGTCGCAGCACTTGAAAACTGACCGTGCACGAAAGCAGATTATTAACCGTCGGTAATTTCTCAAAGCCAGTACCAAAGTAATGAGCAGATCGTAAATAAACGGTAAATATTATAAGAGTTAACCGTTTACATACAGCAGGACCAATGAAACGCTAATCAGTGAAAATAGAGACTCATATCGATTACTGAGCCCTTTATCAGCGGCATAATTACCAACGATCCAACCCTACACCTGCACGGATTTTGCACCGTACTGACCCATTCAAATTAATCATTACAAATGCGTCCAAAATTTACTTTGCTGGTTATCAGTGTCACAGATAATCGCTGTTGTTATTTGTAATGCCTTTACATATATTTGTGTATAAGGTATCTCTCGTAGCTGTGTGAACAAATACCGTCAATCTCGCAAATACTGAACACATACTGCCGTCTCGCAGTTCGATGATCATCTTATACGACTGCTGAACGATAATACGAGTAATTATTACACCGTTCTCGCATTGCAGTAAAAAAAGGGCGCAAATGCAGTCTAAACGGCTAATGCTTAGTGCACCCTACAACCTTTTTTTAGCATTTCATAAACTCTCAAAAGTTGGACATGTGCATTATTTATTAGATCTGCACGAGGACGACTATCGGTTGACCTGACAGCGTTACTGAATGAAACTGGTCGTAATACAGTTCATAGTGCAAAATAATTACGCCAGACAGAGAGGTTTTGAAATAGATACCCAAGTTCCCTTTAATGTTGATCAATACGTATTGAACAAAGTAATGCAAGGGGACCAGTTTACAAAAACTAAGATAATAGAATTATAGAAGTACACATTTCGTCTGCTGCCTGACACAAATCATATCTCATAAGAAATTATGATACTGTTTGGTTTTAGAGTGGTACACGCAAAACCCTTACATACATTGTTGCAGTGGCGCTACCGGAAACAATTTTACAAGTATGTCAGGGCGATGAAAACGAATCTTTAGACATTTCATTTTATGTCCGATACGAGGTTTCTTTCTGAAATCTTAAACACATAAACTGCACAGCCATAAAGGCTGATTAGAGATCATCACATTTCCCTGGATTCGGCCTACATCCGCACTGTAATACGCCTCTGTAGCTTCAAGAGGCCTGGAAGTGGCGGATAACTATGTCTCTGTATTTACAGATGACGGGTGGGGTACCTTGCACAGTATCCCGGAAGAACAACAAATAAAACACGAGCAGCCAGTGATGAATTTTCTAGTTAAGTCCGGGTATGTATCTTTGCATGCAGCCACTAATTATCCATGCACCACGTACAGGATGCGAAAGCAAGCGTTACTGAGAGCAGATTAATCTTACCTTTCTGCCACAATGCAGCCTACCGAATTACTCTGAAATATTGTTCAAATTTTTCTGCTTCGACGGTGATTGTGCATTGCAGGTATCCTGAAAATCCTCATTTAAACTTTGCGCTGTCTTAATTTCTCTGTATTTATACATCTGCGATGCACTGCGACTACCGTTTTTATCAGTAGAAGTACAGGCATCGGCGCGTTAGAACGTTTTTCCATATATCTTACTAAGTTATTAACTGCCGGCTGCGGCGTTGGTAATACACGGTTCCTCGAAATAATCAGAAAATCAATACCGGCGCTCTCTGTTGCCTGAAATGGATGTTTGGTATTGCAGTTACGTTAGTCAGTTCTTCCAATAAAACAGTAGAATATTATCGCTTTATATACTGTTTCATTTTGCCGTTTCAAATCCATGTCTGAAAATTATAAGCTGAATTGCTTGAATATAACTCGGCACAGAGCCAGGTAGTATCCTTGTCACTCTGCCCAAACCGCAACTTTTCACTGCAGCCTCCCGGACTGTGGTTCCGCGTAGTACGCACATTTCTGTTGGGTTAATGGGACTAATGATGCTATTACATATTTAACATTTCCGGAAGCCAAAACTTCCACTTACTCATGGTTGTGCAACCACTTACGCTTTCTAGAATTTAACGGGATAAATTGATGCTGTAAAGCAATGTGTTTGTAAATGACTTATTTCCCCGCTGAGTTTTCCGCGTCAACATGCGCTTAACTTTATGGTTTGGTGAGAATCTCCGCTGGACACTTGTTACGTATTCTACTATGCGTTTAATGAGCCTCGTTTACGCCTTACGTTGGTCGTAACGTATATACAAAAAAAGTAAATCGTTGTGGTGTATGCGCACATCCAGCCGGTGGATACAACCCCTTGTTTTGGATTATTAATGACCTTCTGAAGTCATGCGACGATTGTTCTGACGGGATAAAAGCCGCGTCTGCCGTATAAGCCGTTACTTTAGCTTACGTTCTGGAAGAACTGTTCTGGATAAATTTACAAGAATGTTCATTAACGCGAGTGATCCTTCTGCAGTCGATTTTGTGCATAATTTGTCCAAAGAAGTTAGAGGAAACGCGGAAGCGTGGCGGCAAAACGTTTCCTGGTCTGGAAATTTTACCGTGGCGCAACGAAATGGAGCGAATATCATGTTCAGTGTCTTGTACCCGCTGTTATTAACGGCTTGTACCATTGGCAACGTACTGAACTTGGTTTTGTTGATTTCCACCAAACGCCAGAAGACCACGAATGCGTACATGATCGCTGTAGCCATTGCCGATATAATTGTACTCAGGTATGCTTACGAAACTTCTTAAGATTGTACCTGTACGTTTTGCATCATCAATTTGTTTCTTTAATATTTGCAGCAGGCATAGAGGTGTGCACACTGCACACCTGGTACCTGTTTCTTACTGAGGGACTTCAATGCTTCTCGTACTATATGTGTAATGCCTTTTTGTTTAAATCAGTTGGACATTCTTTCCACCCTATCTGTGGAACACCAGCGCCACCCTCCACCTTCCGTACAAGAACAGGCACAATTGGGCTATTGTGTCAGCAGCGCTGCCGTACACAATATGGATCCAAGAAACTTTCATTCAGATGTGTGACTGGTACGTATTGCGACGATTTTACGCATTTGCGAAGGTGCCGGTTAATTTGGGTCACTAGCAATGGATGCGTGCCTTGATATGACATTAGGGTGTTAACTGCATTTTCCCTGGAACGCTTACTGGCCATCGCACGACCATTCACCTTTAAATGGGTTCAGCGTGCCACCACCGCGCGGATTGTCATCATAGTGCTGCTGCTGTTCTCCATAGTATTTAATTCTGGCAACTTCCTCCGTGAATGGTATTTGTGGCGCTACACTCTGACAATCGGGACGCTGCCGGCTTGGTTGAAGGACTGGACGAAGGCACAAGACGCCGCAGAGGTGCGACCAAACAAATTTACGCTTTTTTGAATGTGATGGCTTGTAGTAGGTATGGTAGCCGTATTTGCCTGGTTGTACGTGAAAGAATAACTATTAGGGTACGAGCAGTCGCTGGACTGTGCAATTAAATTCATTACGTTCATAGATGAAAACACTTGCCTTTACAATTTCAGTCAAAAACCGTGCATTCTAATTACATTGTAAGTACAATGTATCAAATTAGTACCTACACTTTATCGTTGCAAATTCGTTAGCAAACGCTTTTAGTATAGTTGTATCTCCTACTGCCTTCGTCGTTTACTTATGAGACCTGGATGGTTATAGGTAGTTGTGTCTTTTCTGAAGTTCTTCGGGCTTCTGTGCATTAACGTGCTGGTTATCGGCGCTCTCAACCGCCAACAACGTTCTGACATCGGTCAACAGCGTTCAGCCCAAGCAGTGACATCTCTTAGGCGTTCTAAAAGTAGCAACCATTTGCTGCTGGGCAGTGTGGCCTTATACCTGACCACTTTGCTCCCCAGCATGGTGTACAAATTCCTAGAAATGGCCGACACATACAAGGTCTACAACTTTGACCCTTCGGCCAAGCTGTTCGCGACGCCGTTCTGCGACGTGACTATGCTGACCAATTACTCCGTCAATTTTTTCCTGTACTTGACCGTCAGCGAGAATTACCGAGTGCAGTTCATGCGGCTGTTTGGGGAGTGCTGTGCCCGACGTGGTTGAAGAGGAACTGGAGCAAGTACGCGGATAGCAGCTGGAACAGCAATCATCAACGATCATGGTTGCACGGGAATGTTAAAGAAACTGAATAGTCGTTCCACTGTTAGAAGCTAATAAAAGCACTCTTAATAGTTTTCGGAGCATGATTTATACAGAATGTACTTCGTATATCTAAACTACTACTTTGTACTAGCGCTCTTCGATGGCATACTATATGTAATATATACATTTCAACAGAAACAAATTTTACCACTTCAACTTTGCTACTACTCTGTGCGATGTATCGTTTTGTATAATGACGATAAGTGTGGCCAGCTGTTTTAACCGCGACGATTCGTATATTCGACCAGAAGGAAGTACCTACCCCGTTCTACCGATCCCCTATAGTTTTCCGCTTCTGTGTGCGCGCAGTCAAAAACTAATAAATTTTTCCTCCGTTCAGGTTTGCAAAAAAAGGCGCCGCCAGTATAAGCGAAAAAGCGTGTTTAACCTGTATTTTGGCTAATAGTAAAAACGAAAAATTGTTGAATAAAACAGAAGTGATCTGGAGTCACTCCATTACGTATACGAGTATTAAAAACTTCACACGGAACGCAAATAGTATGTACTCGTAACTGCACACTGCAGAGCCTACAGCATTAGGAAACCACTACAATAAAAATAAAAAATTCTAGCGGATATGACATTCCATAATAATGATGCCGGACCAATCATGGCTGCAGTTCACTTATCTGCCGGTGGCTTCTTGCTTTCTCTTGGCTCCCGATCAGCGACGTTCTGCAACCCCCCACCTGGAGGATTACCAAGACGCTCCGCCAGCAATTCCTGCTTCTTGTCGTCGGCGAGTTTTGCGTAAACAGCAACGCATTAGTGTCTTTACCTGAAGTTCTTTGATGTTTCGTAAAATTCTTCCCGTCCAGATTCTCTGGCATCGGCAACGGTTGATACGAATGCAGGACGACCAGGATGTTTTTGTGCGGCAGGCTTCCCTTCAGGCATGCTTTCGGGAGACTTCTGTTCGGACATGTTCGCGGCCACGGGAGGCTTCTTTTCGGACATGCTGTGCACGTGTCGGTCAATCACTCAAACTGCAGTCGAACGAACATTTAACATTTCACAATCAACTTACTTGACCGCAAATAATATCGATAATTTTCTTTACTAAGCATTTCTTTATGCTGTTAGCAAGTCGCACAGATCTATACTCTCTTATTGCTATAGACAGTTAATATCATTATAAACAATTAACGGCAACACTCGTATTTTACCTTCCAGAAATAAAGCGACTAAGTCTGTCTGTTGAGAATCCTTGAAGCGTTTTCACTTTCCACCAAGAAATTTAATTACAGAACGATTATATATTTACACTACGGTAACGTATAGGATGGGCCAACTTCAGCTGTCTCATCGCTTTGGGGAAATGCCGATGACGTTATCAACAAAAATCAGTACCCGTTTATGAGTGAGGGTATGATGTCAAAACCAGTATAAATAATATAACTGACATTGCAATTTGCAAGCACCGTATCATTCATTACGATCGCGGTAAAACAATTATAACAAAGCCAAGTTGACTAATGGTAAGTACATCGTTTCTGAATCTACTTACCGCATCATGATCACCGTATTCATGTGCCTTGTTCTCAACTTCTCTTGAATATTACAGTATCCTACAGTAGCTAATACAGAGCGCAATAAAATCTGCGAAACACAATTGTTTATTTTTTCTTCCTGTACAATAGCGGAAATTGATTTACTACGTCCATAAGTTCCTAAAAAACTTCAAAATCCATCTCTTCTACAGATTTACTTTTGCCCCCGGAAAAGAGCCTAAAACTGCGGCTGTTTCCTTTCTTCATATCGCTAAGCAAATGCGATGCTGATATGGTGACCCGCCCGTTAGTCGACGGAAATTCGCCGACCGTCGCTACGCTCGTACAGACGGCAATACCGAAGTAGACTTAATATTTAGCTAATCCGTCGTAATTTTCTTAGCTTCTAGGTTTCTTAGTTTCTTAGATTTATTTTGTTTTTTTTTATTGGTGACGGTCGACGAAGTGTTAGCCGCGATAATGTGGGTGCCGGTGGCTCTTTTCGCCGGCTATTTGATCCAAATTGCAGACTATACGGTATGCCTTTCAGTAAGTAAATTAAGATCTACTGTTGTCAGCCGCGGTATACTTAGAACAATTACTGCAAGGCGCAAGCCGTCTTGTAGTTGACACACCGGAAACAATTTCCCATGTGGATCAGGGCGTAAGAGCCATAATGGTTAGACACTTCATGTCTGATACGCGGTTCCATTTTCCGCCTCTGACAACAAGTAAACAGCAACCAATAAAGGCTGTTTAAAAATCATCATCTCCCACTGGTTTCGCTGGTTTCGGGATACATCCGCACTATAATACTCCCTTGGAGCTGTAAAAAGTCTTGAAGTGGTGTATAATTAGGTCTCTGCAATTACTGATGACTGATTGTCTTGTCGACTTGAACTGTACTCTTAATAGCCCGGAAGCAACAAATAAAGAAAAAGCATCTAACGTTGGTTTCCGGTAAAGTCAGGATATTTTTACTTTGCGGCTTGCAGGCGTCCATCAGTTACGTATCCATGGATCACCTACAGGATTCTGGAGAAAACAAGCGTTTCTCGAGGCAACATAATCTTACCCTCCTGGTACAACGCAGCATACCGATTTACTCTGAATTATTATTCACATTTTTTCAGCACCGACAAAGATTACGCGTTTTACGGGATTATGTGTGTTAATTATCGGCTGCGGCGTTCGTGAAATGGCTGCCCCATTCGATGCTATTCATCTAGCAATCAGTAATCGATAGCGAGTCATTACCGACGCTTTAATCTTTATGTTGTCTGTCTGTACGCTGTAAGTGAATTCTGCACGAAAAATGTTATCAGGACCGAAAATTGTTATCGTTACTATTCCATTTTTACTGCTTTTACTGTATATTTATATTGAAATAAGCGGAACTGTGTAAATGTGACCCTTGAATTCAGTGTCAGAAACTATTAGGAGCAGGGTCACTGGGCACAACTGTAACGTTTCAATGCTGTTTTCATCTTGCGATTGTGGCTGCGCGTAGTAAGTACTTACATCTCGTTCGTGTTAACGGGGTTATTGCTGTTATTTAGGCACCCATTTAACGTTTCCAAAAGTGATACTTCCCGCTGAGACACGACTGTGCAACCACTTGCGTTTACCAGAAATCACCGGGATAAATTGTTGGTGCTGTAAAGTAATGTGTTGGTAAATGACCACTTCATGGCTTGATGCATACCTCCGTTGGGCGCAGCCGCTTCTCTTTACGCTAAGTTAGAGATCCCTTTATGCTTCACGCTGGCACACATTACCTGGACGCAATGGCCGTCAAAAAAATTAATCTCTGCTCTGTCTACGCACGCGGCACATCCGGACCGGTAGATAGAAATCCCTGCCTTGCATTACCAGTGACCTATCATAAACGCCACGCTGTGATTGTTTGGACGGGATAAAGCGGTGTCTGTTTCTGCGGCAAACGTTATTGCAGGAATATCCCGGATACATTTACAACGATGTTCTTCAACGCAAACGATTCGCTTAAAATTAGCATAGTGCACATTTTTTCCATGGAAGCGCAAACCCCTATGATCCGGATATATGGCGCCAAAGCGTTCCATGGTCTCGAAATTTCACCCTCATGCGCAACGAGTTCAAGCAACTTTCGTGTTCATTGCCTTATACCCGGTTTTATTAGCGGCTTGTACCATCGGCAACGTCCTGAATTTAATTGTGCTGATCTCCGCCAAACGGCAAAATACCACAAATTCGTACATGATCGCCGTAGCCGTTGCCGATTTAGTTGTACTGTAAGCACGTGACGTAACCTTTGAATACGGTATCGGTATATGTGTTGCCTTAAGAATTGGTTTTAATTTTCGACGTTTCCATTCATTATTTTTCAGATTTGACCTTATCAAAGCTTGAAGAGTTCTACGCTATTTTCGCAAAGCTGTGTAATTCCAATTTTACTGAATCAGGTGGGTGTTCTTTCCGCCATATCTCTGGAACACCAGCGCCACCCTCCATCTTCCCTATTATAAAAAAAAAATTACGCTACTACGTTAGCGGTGCGCGCATATGATTTCGATCCAAGACATCTTCATTCAAATGTGTGATTGGTACGTATTACGTATGTATTACAACTAAGAGAATGTAAAACATTGCTGATGGCGCCGGTTATTTTGTGTCACCACTAAAATGTTAATGTCCCCTGTGACATAGGGTGTTGTTTGCCTTTTCCTTGGAATCGCTTTGTTGGCCATCTCGCGACTGCTCACTTTTAAATGGGTACAACGTGCCACGACAGCGCGGATTGTCATCGTGCTGCTGCTGTTGTTCTCCATAGTCTTCAATTCTGGCAATCTCGTCAGTAACTGGTATCTGTGGCGCTACCAGTTGACACCCGCGGCATTGCCAATTTGGCTGAAACACTGGGCGGAGACGCAAAATGTCGCCGAGGTAAAAGAACAAGCAAACAAATTGCTGAGTCAAGCCGCTTATGGAGTAGCCGTATTTCGTAGTTAAATTTGCCTTTAAAGCGATAGGTCGGACGTACAGTCACGTACTCATACTAAACAAAATACTGTAAGTACTTACTTTAAACAAATTAATTATATTTCTAATTTCATACTAATTCACTTCAAATATTGGCTAATCTTACTTAACGGTTATCGCATGACAAAGTTTTGTATTTTATATAAATTCGGCACCGAACGCTTTCTGGTTTTTGCATGTCTCATTTTTTTCGGTTTCCTATAAGGCCTGGGCGCTTACAGGTGGTCATATCTTTTCTGAAATTCTTCGGACTCCTTTGCATCAACGTACTCGTTATTAACGCTCTACGCCGCCAACAATGCTCCGATATAGGTCAGCAGCGGGTCGCCCAAGCCAAGACCTCCGTCAAGCGGTCTAAAAGCTGCAACTACCTACTGCTGGGCAGCGTGTTCTTGTATCTCATTACTGTGATCCCCGTCTTGATATTCAAATTCTTGGAACTGGCCGACACCTTCCAGGTCTACAACTTTGATGAATCGGCTAGACTCTTCGTTAACCCGTTCTGCGATGTGGCTATGCTGACTAATTATTCCGTCAATTTTTTCCTGTACTTGACGGTCAGCGAGAAGTATCGGGCGCAGTTCATGCGGGTGTTCGGTGGAGTGATGTGTCCGATATGGCTAAAGAGGAACTGGCGCATGTGGACCGATAACGGTTGGAGCTGGAATCAGCAGCGATCCCGGCTGCATGGGAACGTTAAAGAGGAGCTCAACAATCGGCCCACTGTGAAAAGCTGTTAAGGGCCTTAAAGCTTAAAGCATAAAGCACTCTTGCAAAGCTGAATTTGTTGTGCAAGCCTTGCACGGTATAGATATTGACTCCATTATCTGGACTCATGCTGTAAATATTTGTAGCTGCTTGTTATGATTATTTTTAACGTAGGTATAAAGGCACCAAATTCCATACTTTATCCATACTGACTAACAAACAAGATACTGGCAAGTGTCTTGTCATTTGTTGTGGAAACTTTGTATCAAATCCTTCTAATAACATTTGTCATTAAATCAAAAATATAAAAGAATTCAAACACTTGTTGTCTTATCACTTGTTTCTTATAAACCACGGAATCTTTTTTGTGTATACGGTGTATTTGAAAGAAAAATTATTAGTAGACCAGAAAATCGCCTGAAGTATTTAACTTGGTTAACACAGGTACTTATCTTGTGCCCGAGTAACTGTAGAGCAGCATTCCAGGACGAGAGATTCTGCAAAGCAGTTGCAAGTTGCAATTATGAGATGCAATTGCAAGATCATAGCGCCGAATGGCAATAGTCTACCGAAGCATAATATTAGCGTAAACACGAGAAACGAAACACTGTTCACGGAAACGGAAGTGATTTGGATTTCACATCAAAAACATGTGCAAGAGCATAAGCAAACACTTGGTACGTAGTATAACGAAACAAAAAAATTCTGAGACACGCCATTACGAGGACGGTGGCAATGACCGAATGTTTAGCCAGTAAAGCGAACGACCAGTAGATTGGCTTAGGTTGACTTATCCGCCGCCGGTTTCTTGCTTTCTCGACGACTCCCGATTAGCGACCTTATCTGAACCTCCAGGTCTTGGAAGATTACTCGCACGCTCCGCCAACAGTTCCTGCTTTTTGTCGTCGGGAACTTTTGCGTGGATGATACGTATGCAGGACAACCAGGATGCTTTTGTACGGCAGGTTGCTCTTCCGGCAAGCTCTCAGGAGGCATCTCTTCAGGCACGCTGTGCACATTTTAACAGGAGTACATTACACCTCAGTTTGAAGGAAGCATTCACAGCTGTTGGTTGACTTA